ATGGGTCGGAACCGACTCGATGGCACTTAACAACAACAACAACAACATTTGTAAGAAAACCTGAAGACCTGCAGTGAAGATTCTGGTCCTAGGAAGAAAAGAGTGAGTTAGCCAAAGGAGCAAGTGTACAGGCAGTAGCCCATCAAACCAGGGTAAGCCCCTTGGTAGTCTTGTCAAGCAGATTCTAACGTTTGTCTGGGAAAGAAATTATGTTGGCAGCAGCTGAGATTTTGACGCAGAGAAGGAATTCTTGCCATGTTATTTTTTGTTGTTGTTAAATACCCCAAGGTGGTTCTGACTCATAGTGACCCTGTATAGGGTTTCTAAGGAGCGGCTGGTGAGCTTGAACCGCCTACATTTCAGATCAAACCGACTTTGCAGTCCAGTGCATTAACCCACAGTGCCATAGTAAATAATACCAAAACATGCTCCAAGGCCAGAGTGAGGGAAGAGGGTGATGCTGGGGCAGGAGAGAGAAGGCTCGGTGAAACGGCAAAGAGCCAGGAAATTGTGCATCAACAGTCTTTCCAACAGACAGGGAAGAGAGTTTCCAAGCTATTTGGGTAATAATTTAGCAAAAATTTAAATTAAATCCCTAGCTTACACCTTGCAAAAAAGTCAGTTTGAGATATGTTAAAGAGCTTTTATTAAAGAACATTTAGATCTTACATGTGTATGCATCAAAAAACAAAAACAAAGCCCAAACCCAACCAATTGCATCAAATCGATTCTGACTCATGGCGACACCTTGTGTTTCATAGTAGAACTGCATTCCTTAAGGGTTTTCAATGGCTGTGATCCTATGGAAGAAATCTCCAGGTCTTTCTTCTGAGGTGCCTCTGGAGTTAAACTACCAATCTTTGGGTTAGTACTGTGTGCTTAGCTGTTTGTACCACCCAAGCACTCTACACGTATGCATCAAAGAGCACATATACATGTATTTAGTAGCGTAGTGGTTACGAATCGGGCTGCGAACCTTAAGGTCAGCGGTTCGAACCTACCAGCCGCTCCGCGGGAGAAAGATGAGGCTTTCTACTCCCATAAGGATTTACACCCTCGGAAACCCTGTACAGGGTCGCTATGGGTCGGAACTGACTCAACGGCACTTAACAACAACAACAACAGTGTTTTAAAAAAAAAAGTTGCCTTTGATTCTGATTCATGGGGATCCCACGGGCGTCAGACAAGAACTGTGTTCCATTGCATTTTCTGTGACATTTTTTAGAAGTAGATCACCAGACCTTTCTTCAGAGCACCTGTGGGTGCATTTGAACCTTCAACCTTTCAGTTAGCAACCAAGTGAGTTAACCATGTGTAGCAACCAGGGAGTCCAGTTAGTGTATGTTGTTGTTAAGTGACTTTGAGTTGGTCCTGACCTATAGCAATCCTGTATAGGGGTTCTGAGAAGCAGCTAGTCCAGCACATTATCCTGCAGTCCCACACCAGGACGCCAATGCAAATAATAAAGATTACAAAAATAGCAATCATCCCTTAGTCATTTCACATACATTTTAACAAATGTGATCTTAAGTCAAAGTCTCACTGCCTAATTAAAAGGAATCCTCAACAATTTCAGCAATTTTGTGATATCTCTACCTAATCTCTTCTTCAGCATACGTCTTTCGTCTCCCTCTTTTTGTAGCCCCAATGAGACTCTTTTGGAAACATGTTTCCTAAACTTTATTAAGACACTATAAACAAAGGCAAAAGGCAAGTGGCTGGGAGAAATCCTTACAAAATATATAACAATGGAAGGAGTATAACTGGGCTCAGGGAGAATGACGTTTGAGGAAAGAGGTGAGTTTTCAACAAATACCCACCTCAGTGTGGTCTGGCGTTTTAATAACAAGTACAGTTCACATAAGGAGGCCTGGTGGCACGATGGTTAAGCACTTGACTGTTAACCAGTAGGTTGGCAGTTTGAACCCACCAGTGGCTCTGTAGGGGAAAATATCTGGTAATCTGCTCCTATATAAAGAGTATAGTTTAGGAAACCCTATGGGCCAATTCTCTGAGGGGGTTTCAAAAATTTTATGGAAAAATGGAACTGCAAGAGAATGGGATTTTTCCATGAACTTTTTAAGGAATTTGAATCACCTCCATGGCATATAATAACAACAAAAACATGGTTCACATAAAAATATGAAAATAATGTTGGTTAGTGTGATTATAGGCCTTAGGACTAGGCATTGGCCGGTCTCTGGGGCTGGCGTGGAGGCCTGGTGGATGGTCCGAAGGGTTGTTTCTGCATCAGGACAGGGTTTTGTGTAAGTGTGCACTGACCTGCCAGCCCTCCTAGGAGACAAGCGTATTTCTGATTTATCCGTCCTTGTAATGCCCAGCTGGACCCTCACCAGCATCTCCACCTCCCTACTGCTGCCCTAGGTGTTCCCTCCCCTGCAGACTACAGGTCCTGTGCTCATTCTGCCTTGACCAGCCCTGCCTTTCTCTGGGGTCTGGCTCAGGGGTGTCGCCACCCCTTTCCAGAGGACTAGGCCTCTCGTTGCCTGCCTGGGTTTCCAGGTTGACAGTAAGATCAGCAGATCCTTTCCCCAACACATCCTGTGTACCCCACACAGTGGTGCTGGATGCTTCGTGCTGCGAGATCAGCACCTTGTTTGTATTGCGGACACTGGTTCGTCTTTAGCATTCTGCAAGCTCTCCAGTAAATGCAGGACCAGGTGGGACTCACCTATGGCAGAGATCACCCAGATGAAATAAGGATGTAAAGTTTGGGGAACTGAAACTTTGACACCTGAAATACATCCTATCGGATGCGGTGCCCAGACTGGGCTCAGTCATTGACGACCATGGCCTCAGACATTGAATGCCTAGCCCACCCCAGTTCTCCTGGGCCCTAAACCTCTCAGGCTACGGAGTAAAGAATAAACTTTAATTTCTCTGAGGTAGGGGGCTCTGGTTAGGCTCATCTCCAGGAGGGTCTACAGAGCCATGGACACGCACACGGTACAGGCAGGTGAAGCGTGGGTTCCCCCAGTTGCTTGAGATCTTCACCTTGACGGCACCAAAAGGCCGGGCGGGCTGGTTCTGGAAGACAGAGCCATAGACTCCCACAGGGTCGGCTGGGAGTAGACAGGGACCTCCCATTTCACAGGTGGGGAGACTGAGGCACAGCATGTCCATATTCAGGGGCTGGATGGAAGGTGCCAAGGCCAGGAAAACAGACATCCTGTGATTGGGGCCCTGGGTCTGTTTCCCCCTCTGTGGGATGGTAAGGTCTGTTTCCCAGGGTTGCAGTGGGCATGAGAGGAGATCGTGATGACTTACTGGCACCTGGCATGCAGTTGGTGCTCTCTTAGTACAGTCCTACCCCTTTATGCCAGTGTTCATTAGACAACTTGCTCAGTGTGGGCAGGAGGGAGCCCTTAGCCTATGAGAGCTCGTGCCCTCCTTGGGAGTTACAGAAGGGGAAATGAAGGCCCAAAGATGGCCCAAGGCACACACAATTTGTGGTTGGCCTGATTCCTAAGCCTGGACACTCACCCCCATCAAGCCCCTTGGCCATTCCAGGAACCCTCCCTACTCCCTCATCCTGATTCTACTTTCATCCTCAACTCTCTTCCCTCCACTGATCATGGAGCCTCTCAGTAGTGAGTCTCTTAGTTTGGAACCACCAACCTCAGCTCTTAGGGTCCCTTCTGCTCAACATCTGTTGTCCCTGGGAGGGAATGCAGCAAGAAGGGTCATGGGCTGAGCAGGAAAAAAGGGGATGGGGTTGCCAGAGGCTAGGCAGCTCTCCTTGGAATCCTGTTCTCAGTCCTGGATTCTGAGTCCATTTCTGAGCCTCAATTTCCTCGTCTGTCAAGTGGGCCAGGGGATGAAGTAAGGACCCTGGGTGAAGGCCTGAATGTATTGTGGCTTCAGTAGGTACCTGGAGCAGGAACATCTGAATGGTGTTTTCTGGCTGGAACTGGAATGCGCCTAGGAACACCTCCTCCTCCCTGGGGGTGCCCTTCATTCCCTGTGGAATGAGGCCAAGGAGAAGGGGTTAGATGCAGGCAGGGCCTTCAGAGGCAATGTTCCCTCCCCAGTCAACACTTGCACACCTCTCTAGGTGGGGAGCTCTCTACTCATTTGAGCACCACGTAATGATTAGGAAACAGCGTGGGCTGGGAGTCAGTAGGCTGAAGATCTGCTTCTAACTCTGTCATTGGGATGTGTGTGTTTCCCTGACCTCTCTCTTGTTATTAGTTCTCTTATCAGTAAAATAAGGAGCTCTGGTAGCGTTGTGGTTACGAATCAGGCTGTGAACCTTAAGGCCAACAGTTCGAAACTACCAGCGGCTCCGCGGGAGAATGATGAGGCATTCTGCTCCCGTAAAGATTTACAGCCTCGGAAACCCTGTACAGGGTCACTATGGGTCGGAACCGACTCGATGGCACTTAACAACAACAATAACAACATCAGTATAATGGGGGCCCACTGTTCTCTGAAGACTCTTGGTTCCAAAAACCTGGGTCGAAGTTTGTCCCCTAACTGTACAGGCTGAGAGCTGGCCCCCTACCCTAGCCATTCCCGTCTTCACAAAACCTCAGCCACCCCCTCTAGCCTGCATGGGCTGTGCGGAAAGTTCGCCCCGCTGCTTGTAATGCCGCTGCTCTGAGGCTGCGCCTTTAGTGAAGACTTGTGCCCTGCTGGGCATGCTCACATAAATGACAAAGTCCTTGGGGGCAGTGTCCAGGCTGCCTGACAGGGAGATGGTCTTGGGGATGTGCTGCAGTGTGAGGATGGACAGATAAACCTTCTGGGCCAGTCGGATGGTCACCTGGCCATGGTCCCCAGCGAAGGCCCAGCAGTTGCCAGGTGTCACATTGGGCTAAAAGGGGTAGAGGTAGAGGGGGTCATGCTGGATGTTAAAGATGTGTTGCTCACCCACCCTGGCTCCCCTAGATCTTCCTGGCTGTTCTGGCTGAGCCAGTTCCTTCCTGTCTATAAAGCTTGGCTCCAGTACCACCTCCTCCAGGGACCTTCCCTGATTGCCTGTGGCAAGGATGAGCCCTCCTCCAGCTCAGTGCAGAGAGGACAGGGCCTGCTCAGCCTCCCGGCCTTCAGCTTCCCACCTTGACCCCCATTTATTCATTTTTCCTTCCATCCTTCTTGATATGATTTCACAACCACCCTGGAATGTAAGTGTCTATTTTCCAGATGAGGAAACTAAGAAACATCAGGGTAATGACTTATCTAGGGCTATACAGAGCTGGGAGTGTAACCCAGGTGATTTGACCATGGAATTGGCTGTGAACCACCACAATCTCCTGCCCGCAAAATGCAAAACATAGGCCTAGAGAGGAAAAGGGGTTTGGCTGAAATCAACAGCAAGGTTGTCTTAGAGACACAGCATAGATGGTCCTCATCTGAAACAGAAGAAGCTAGATTTTGGGGGAGGGTATCCTGGGACCTGTGGGTGTCAGAGAAGACCTCCTAGAGATGCCAAGGATGAGGGAGAGGAATTAATTAGCTGGGATGGTAGAGCAGGGAAGGGCATTCCAAACAGGGAATAGCATGTGTAAGGCCCAGTGCTGAGTTGAGTCTGATGACTAGACTGAAGGGGGCTCGCTTGGTCTCAAGGGTAGAGCTGGGTTGAGGGACAGAGCCCGGCTGAGTCAGCCCTACCCTGGGCTCCAGACCTGACCAGAGCCCCTAGTGTGGCCCTCCCACCACTGCACTCGTTGGACTGCCACCCAGCCTTCACCTGCTGTTCCTCTGCCAGCATGCCCTCGACTCCTAGTTCTACCTGACAACTGCTGTCTTTGGCCACCTCCACCAGGAAGCCTTCCAGACATGGCCTCTACTCCAGCCCTGACCCCAAGTGCTGTGATCTTTGTGTTTTCTTGATCCAGGATTGGCCACTAGGATGAGACACTCTGGTGTTTGCTGAATGACCTGAGGAAACCCCTTCCCTTCTCTGGGACCCAGTTTCCTCATCTGTGTGGCAGAATTCCAAAGGGATTGCATGTGGGTTTTGTCGTAATTTGTGAACAGCTGTGTGGCTGGCGGTGAGTCTCCAGTCTCTCCCCCTCGGCTCCCTCTTTGAGCCTCAGTCTCCTCCTCTGCAAAATGGGGACATCAGGATCTACCCTCCAGGGTGGTTCTGGGAGGATCTCTGACTCTCAAGTCCTGGGGGCTGGGTAGCATGGACCCTTTCAGTGACAAAGAAGTCTGTCCCTGCTCCGTACTCCTCCTTCAGCTTCTCCTCTCATAATAGCACCTACCTTCTGTTCCCACTTCCTGCTCCTGCTCCTGCCCCTGATCCCCTCGCCCCTGACTTCTTCTGCCCCTACCCTATCAATTTCCCCATCTCTCTGCCCCCTGCCCTTGGCCCATCCCTACCTACCTTATTCCACCCCACCCTAGACCCGGCCCCTAGCACCCACCCAACTTCTGCTTTTAGCACCTGCCCCCAGACTGATTTCCTAACCACACCTCTTCCCCGTGTCCCTCCTCCTCCTGCCCATCTCCTCTTGTCCCCTGCCACCACCCCTGCCTCAAGGATGACGTCGGGGGGTTGTGCGTAGTTCCACAGTCGGATCCAGTTCCAGTAGAAGCGAGCCTTGTTGTGATTGTAAGTGGCTGATGTGTGGTCAAAGTCAATGGAGGCCCCTGCAAGGGAGACGATGGAGGGGCTCCTCAGGGGAGCAGCTCCCAGTCCCAGCTCACCTCCTACTCCTGCCTGGAGGAAGAGCACCCCACGGAGGGAGAACTCACTGTGTGGCGGGCAACCACTGACCCTATCAGGCCTTAGTGTTCTCCTCTGGGAAATGGGAGTAACAGTACTTATACACAAAGAAGTTACGCTAGCACCCATTTCATAGGGTTATTGTAACGTTGGAAAAGAGTAAATCAACAAAATCCAGCAGTGTCTAAGACAGAGTAAGCACTGACTGTGTGTCAGCCTCGTTCCTGTTACTATGGCTTCGGCCATACCCACTTTACAAAGGAGAACCTGCTTCCATGAGAGGCCAAATGAGACCCCAGGCTATTAAGGGATTCGGTAGATGCCCTTTGACCCCACTTACCAGTAAACCTTGGGATTAATGGTGCCACCTGGCTGGGTGTTCCTTACTCCACTGGCCCTGAAGCCCACCTTGCCCCCTTCCATGTTCCTTTCACTCACTCTTTCCCATCTACTCCCTCTGTGGAACACTTTTCCCTCCTCACCCAAGAAGACTCAACCCAAATGTCCCCACCTGGAAGCTTCTCTCTATCCTCAACACCTGCTTTAATTTCCTGACACTGATTGCCAATGCAATTCACACGTGTTGGTTTGCTTATGCAGTCAATCTCTGCCCTCTCCGAAGGGAAGGACAGCTCTGCCACACTCACTGTGTCCCCAGCACCCAGCACCCAGTGCCTGGCACACAGCAAAGCTAGGTTTAGAGACAGAGTGGATGGGTGGAGGAAAGGGCAGTTCTGAGGGCCTGGCTACTGGTGTTTCCTTGCTCCCCATTCCCCAAATCCCCAAAAAGAAAACCAGATGAGGAGCAGAGGTTAGCACTGAGGTGAATTTTCCAGAACAGAAGGGGTGTGTGAGAAACACCGGACCAGAACTGAGCTCCCCCTCTGAAGAGTTTCTGAGAAAACTTGAGATGAGTAGACAAGGGCCACTTACCTATAGACTTCAGGGCAAAGTCTGGCTTTTCGATGTAATCCCCTTGGATCATCTTCATGATTTTCTGAGACATTCTTTGCTGAGAAAGTAGGAAACACAGCTTATTGTAGATAAAAAGAATTTTCTACAAGTTTCCAGGGATTAAGAAAAACAGATTACTCTTTAAAAGATCAATAATAAGAATGACATTAGAATTCTAAACAATAGTAAAAGCTTGACTACATTGGTGCTTTCTTAAAAGTGCACTGGTATGATCTTACCAGTTACAGCCCATACATATATGTTCATGCCAGACGACAGGCGCTAGCCAGACAACCTTTCTTCCCTAACAGCTTACCCCTGCCTGTGAAGACCATGGCTGCTCCACACAGAACTACTCAGTCACAACACTGTGAGGAAGCCAAGGCCACATGGGGCCATTGGCTCCCCCTATTCTCTACCTACTAGGTTTATGTAGGGCTTTCACCTCCACCATCACAAGGCCATCATGGGCTCTGGAGTCACACACCTTTACTGCTATGGGGCCTTGGCAATTTACTGCCACTTCTGAATCTTGATTTTCTTGTCTGTAAAATGGGAATAATCACAATGGTAACCATTTTAGGACTGTTGTAAATTAAAACTAAGACTTTGTATAAAGCCTGTACTATGTGCAAGGAGTCTTAGCTGGTTCACATATGCTCACTTATTCCCTCACAGCAATCCTAGGAGGAAGGTACTATTGTTATCCCCATTTAAAAGATGAGAACACTGAGGCATGAAAAGTAACTTGTCTAAGGTCACACAGCTGCTAAGCAACAGGGCCAGACAGTTCTATTCTAGAGTTCAGGCTCTTAACCATTATACTGTATTGCCAGATAAAGACTACAGTCTTTATCACAGTGTACTTAGTAGGCACTCCATAACTGCTATACCCATTACCCATTGCTGTTGAGTTGATACCAATTCATTAGTGACCCTATGGGACAGAATAGAGTTGCCCCACAACATTTACAAGACTGTGATTTTTAAGAACTAATAAAAACCAGCTATTGCTTTTATTAGACTCTTCATAGTTGTGAAAAGATTGTATTGTCTAGACATGGCCACTTCAAGATCTTCCATTCCTCATGCTTTTCTTTTCAATGAGATCTTGACACTTTTCCCAGTAACTGGTGGGGTTCTTGCCACCTCAATCTTGTTGGACCTATGACTATGGTAGAAGTGGTGCTGTGACTTTTAAGACTAAGTCATAAAAGGTGACACAGCACTGCCAGATTTTCTTGGAACAGTCACTCTTGGAATGCAGCTGCTATGTTGTTAGGAAACCCAGGTCTAGTGGAAAGGACACATATAGGTGCTTTGGTCAATAGCCCTAACTGATCTGCCTCAAAAGCAAATACTAAAAAAATGACTAGACATGAAGAAACAAGATCACATGATTTATAACTAAGTGAAAAAGGTAATAGAAAGAAATCATAGATGATTTAGATACTGGCGCTGTCAGACAAGGATTTAAAAATAACTACGACTAATGTATTGAGTAAAATCAAGAAAAAGACTGATAATGAAATGATGGAGAATTTTGTCATAAAATTAAAATTTATGAAGAAGCATCAAATGTATATTTTAGAACTAAAAATGCAATATTTTAAGTGAAGAGCTAAATGGATGAGTTTAACCATATATTGTTGTTGTTAAGGGGTGTTGAGTTAATTCTGACTCACAGCGACCCTGTAAAGGATTTCCAAGGAGCAGCTGGTATATTTGAATCTGACCTTGTGGTTAGCATTCCAGTGCTTACTCTACACTGCCACACTAGGATCTAACAGTAGATCAGACAGAGCAGAATATAGGATTATTAGTGAACATGAAGAAAAGCCAGTAGACAATATCAGAACTTAAGGACATAGGAAAAAAGAAAAATTCAGATAATAGTATAGACATTATGTGGAACACATGCATATAATTGGAGTCTCAGAAAGAAAAGAGAGACAATGGAAAAAAGACCATATTTTAAGAGATTATAGCTATGCAATTTCCAAAACTATTGAAAGGCATTAACCCACAGATTCAATATATTAAATTCCCAAAACAATTTGTTAAATATAGAATATTGAAGACAAAAGAGTTTTCTACGAGTGTTCAGGAATAAAAAAACATATAACTCTTAAAGGAACACTAGTAAGAATGGCATTAGAATTCTAAACAACTACAGTGAAATTTGAATACAATGGTGCTTCATTAAAAATTTTGAGACAGAAAAAATTTCCTACCTAGAAATTCTATAGCTAGCCAAACTGTAAGTGCAAAGGTAGAATAAAGATGTTTTCCAAACATACAAGATATAAAAAAATCAATATACTTTCTCTTTAACTCTTTTCCAGGAAATCATGGATAGAGTCCTGGTGTGGCACCATAGGATAAGCACCAGACTGCAAGGTTGGTTTGAACTGCAAACTCACTAACTGCTCCTTGGAAACCCTATACAGGGTTGCTATGCGTTGGAACTGACTTGACCACACTGAACAACAACAGTGGGGGATGTACTCCATCAAAATGAGAGAAGAAACCAAGAAACAAGATGACTTTGGATATTGTAAACAGAGACCCAAACAAAGGGAGAATCTAATGTTGAGGAGCAACGGTAGTGTAGTGGTTACAAATCGGGCTGCTAATCTCATAGTCAGCAGTTTGAAACTACCAGTTGTTCCGCAGGAGAAAGATGAGGCTTTCTGCTCCCGTAAAGATTTACAACCTCGGAAACCCTATACAGGGTCGCTGAGTCGGAACTGACTCCATGGCACATAACAACAACAAAATGTTGGGAAAGGGGGACAAATAACCACCATCTTACCTCATTGGACATGGCTTTCATCTCCTGGAATTTGGCAGTGAGCTGGTTTATTCTACCTCGAAGATCCTGGATTTCTCTGGTGTGATGTTGCAACGTCTCCAGGCATCTCCTTCTCAGGAAGGAGTGGGAACATTGCATTGCATTGAATGAGTGTGTTGCTATTATTGCCAACCTCAGCTTCTCCCTTTGCCAGTCAGCTTTCAAAGAACTAGCATTCTATTTTGTCACTTTCTTAGGCTCAGCTCTGGCCTCACCTACCAGATTCTTATCTCCAAAACATTATCCATGCTTGTCCTTGCCCCTTGAACGTCTTTAAGTTCAACTCATTCCTTTCAAATATTCCTGAGTATTTTGTCTGAAATTAAGGATGCTGCCACCAGATGGTGTCTTGCTGGTTGAAATATCTCTTTATATTTATTTGCTGAGCATTGATTATGGGCCAGGAGTATTCAAACAGTTTACATTTTTTATAAAAATGCCCACAATTACTCAGTGCCAGGTGAGTGTAATGCCCATCTCATAAATGAGGAGTCTGACGCCCAGAGAGGTGAAGTGACTTGGAGAAATAAGGTCACCCAGGTAGAAATTATGGAGCTGGGATTTGAATCAGGTTAGTCTGGCTACAGAGCCCACATTCTTAGCCAATACATCTCAGATCCTCACTCTAGCTCTAGATTTTGTGTGGTTATAGGATCACTCAGCAGATTCCTCTTACCTCAAGTTTTGCAGTAGAACATCTGCATTGTTATTCTGTTGGGGTGTTAAGGAAAGCAAGGGATCTCCTTCAGATGACTGAATCTGGGCCCAATGGAGCTTCATATACCCATTCTCCCACAACCATCTATCCATCCATCCACTTACTTTCCCGTATACTGTCTCATCCATCCATTCATCCATCCATCCATCCACCCATCTACTTACTCACTTACCCTCCCTTATACCCAGGTATCCACTCTTCTCATCCATCCATACATTTGTCCTATCATCCATTTATACATCCATCCACCAACACATCCATTTGTCATCCATCCATGCACACACCCTACCCTGTCCCCTTCATCTATCCTATCATCTATTCGTCCTTCCCTGTCTATTCATTCCATCACCTGTTTATCCATCCATCTACCCTCTTCTTCATTCACTTTCTCATCCATCCATTCTCCCATTCATCCATCCATTTCCCCTCTTTATCCCTCTATCACATCCATTCTCCCACTCAACCACCCACCCATCCACCCATCTGTCCTCCTTACATTCACACTCCCATCTTGGCTGTAATCATCCAACATTGAGTAGTGAAAACCCTGAGCTTGGCCCTATGTTGGACATTCCTGGAACACACTAGACTTGGTTCCTGCCTTTAAGAAACTGTCAGTCGAGTTGGACACAGCCATTATTACAGAACATTGTGTTCAGATTACAGAAAGTGTGAGACGAATGAGGAGGATGTGACTTCCTCTGTCTGGGTGCTTCAGGATGAGGTGACATTTCAGCTGGATCATGTGGAGAAATGAAGGAGGAGGGACGGGACCCTCAGATTGTATTTCCCTATCAATCTTCCAAGACTTTTTGCGTTCCTCAGACAGAGAACTCCTTCTTTCTCTTTAGATACCACAAAGCACATGGTTTCATCTTGTTTGAGTAGAGAAATGAACTGCTTTGAGCAGAGTGAGAAATATGAGGGGGCTTCAAAATCTCTTGGGAAAATTTTTTCCATGAACTTTTGAAACCCCCTCCTATGTTCCCTAGTCCACATTAGGTGGGGGAGTGTAGAAAAAGAGAAATGGGTCAGTTCTGGGGTTCCTGGAGAAAGAACTGCTATTGCCTCTGTTCTTGAGATTCAGTTTTTGGCAGAAGAGAGGGGGCTTCAGGGCAGGTGCAACAGCAAAGGTGGCGGTTTGGAGCAGGCTCATATGTGGTGGGCACAGGGGGAGCCACGGAGGTGACACTGACTGGTTGAGGTGGACGCAGTCAGTGTGGGGCCCGAACAAAACATACACTCACCTGCCAGATTTCCATTTTTGATGGTAAGTGTATAGATAATATCCAGAATCCTGCAGGGTCAAGAGAATGAAAATGAGCTATTTGACATGGAAAGGCAACAGCCTAAGCTCTGGAGATAGGCTATTTGAGTTCAAATCCTGCTTTGCCACATACCAGAATTGTGCAATTTTGGGGAGTCCACTTAATCATCTATATACTTCAGTTTCCAGCTCTAGTAATAATAATGGTAACACTCACTTCATTATTGAATGAGATCACGTATGCAATGTGTCTCACATAAACCAGATAATGAGCATCTCCCTCTCATTCCCATCCCCAAACTTAACTGATCTCTGGATACTTCATGACTTCTGTGGTGACTGAAATCCCACCATACATTCATGCTACTATCCTATAAGCTTTTAAAACCTATTTTCTGCGTATGACAAAAAACATGAAACAAACTAAAAGTAAAAGGGAGCTTCTTTAACCCAATAGAGGTTACCTACCAAAAACTGCCAACATCATACTTACAGGTATAAGACTGCCAGCATCATACTTACTGGTATAAGACTGAATGCTTTTTCGAAAAGATCAGACTCAGGCCAGGGTGCCTGCTTTTACCATTTTCTATTTAATACTGTGTGGATCATGACAAGCTATGGACAACATTGTGAAGTATGAATATTCCTGAACACTTAACTGTGCTCATGAGGAATCTGTACCTGGACCAAGAGGCAGTTGTTCTAACAGAACAAGGGAACACTGAATGGTTTAAAATTAAGAAAGGAGTGTGACAGAGTTGTATTCTTTCACCATACTTATTCAACATGTATACTAAGCAAATAATCTGAGAAGCTGGGTTTTATGAAGAAAGATGAGGCATCAGGAGTGGAGGAAGACTCATTAACAACCTGTGATATGCAGATGATACAACCTTGTTTGCTGAAAGTGAAGAGGATTTAAAAAATTTACTGATGCAGATCAAAGAGCACAGCCTTTGGTATGAATTGCATCTCAGTGTAAAAGAAACAAAAATCCTCACCACTGGACCAATAAACAATGTTCTTATCAATGGAGAGAAGATTGAAGTTGTCAAGGACTTCCTTCTTCTTGGATCAACTATCAACACTCATGGAAGCAGCAGTCAAGAAATCAAACAACATATTGCATTAGGCAAATCTGCTGCACAGGAACTTTTAAAAGTGTTGAAGAGCAAAGATGTCAGCTTGAGGACTAAGGTACGTCTGACCCAAACCATAGTATTTTCCACAACCTCATATGCATGTGAAAGCTGGACAGTGAATAAGGAAGACCGTAGAAGAAATGATGTTTTTGAGTTATGGTGTTGGAGGAGAATATTGAAAGTACCATGGGCTGCCAAAAGAACCAACAGATCTGTGTTGGAAAAAGGGCAGCCAGAGTGCTCGTTGGAGACCAGGATGGCCAAACTTTGTCTTTCATACTTTGGACATATTGTCAGGAGGTACCAGTTTCTGGAGAAGGATATCATGTTTGGTAAGGTGGAGGGTCAGAGAAAAAGAGGAAGACCCCCAACGAGATGGATTGGTCAAGTGGCAGCATCAATGGACTCAAGCGTGGTAACAGTAGTGAGGTTGGCCCAGGACCTGGCAATGTTTCTTTCTGTTGTGCATAGGGTTGCTTTGAGTTGGTACCGAATCGATGGCACCTAACAACAACAAAATTTAATACTGGCATCCTGGTATGACGGTGTAGGATAAGCACTGGACTGCTAAGTACAAGGTTGACAGCTCAAGCCCACCAGCTGTTCATTGGAAACCCTCTGCAGGGTTACTATGAGTTGGAATTGACTCCATGCACTTACCACCAACAACAACATTTACTATTGTACTTATGTTGTTGTTAGGTGCTGTCAAGTCAATTTTGACTCACAGTGACTCCACGTGGCTGAGTAGTATGCTCTATAGGATATTTTTAGGCTGTTCTCCCACAGAGCAGTTGGGTGGGTTCGAATTACTAATGCTATACATATACATAAACACACACACACACAACGAATAGATCTAATAAATGAGTTCAGCAAGGTTGCAGTATAAAATATCAATATGCAAGAGTCAATTGTATTTCTGTACACTAACAATTATCAATCTGAAAATGAAATAAAAAAAAAATTCCATCTACAATAGCATTAAAAATTACTTAGGAATAAATTTAACATAAGAAAAAAAAAAGTTATACTCTAAAAACTATAAACGTCATCGAAAGAAATGAATGAACAATAATGGAAAGACATTATTGTTTATGGATTGGAAGACCCAATGTTTTCCAAATTGATCTACAGATTCAATGCAGTTTCTGTGAAAAAAACCCCAACTAGTTTTCCTTCCTGAAGAAACTGATGGCAAAATTCATATGGACGTGTTGTTGTTAAGTGCTGTCAAGTCGATTCTGACCCATAGCGACCCTGAATAGGGTTTCTGAGGAGCAGCTGGTGAGCTTGAACCACTGACCTTGCAGTTCATACATACCTAACACACAGAGGATCAGAATGCCTGTCTTCTCTATGAGCTTCTGGAAGAACAACTTGCATCTGGAAGGCAGAGAAGCAACAGTGGAGGGGAAGCAGGGCTTTGCCCAGGCTGGACCCTGAAGGACAGGTCTCTTTCTGGTTAGTGACACTCTCTCCAAGATGCTGATTACCTTCTGTGACTCCCCAGTGCCCCAGAGGAATGTGAGCTCATACTCTGGCATTTTAGACCATCAGCAATCAACTCACAGTGCTCGCCCTCCTCTTCCTTACATCCTTTCTCCACTGATGTGCTATCTGTCCCCTTGCCCTCTTTTTTCCCTGGTGAACTCAGTTTTTAGAATTCAGCTTAAATGTCCCTTTCCCCAAGCATTACCAGCTTGGCACTGTGAATTTTGGCATCTACCTTTCTCACCCAACTGGGAGTTCATAAATGATAGAGGCATAGCTGAGCCTAAGATAGGCATTAAGGAAACAGTTAAACTTGAATGAAAGAGATGGACAACTTTGCAGGAATTCAGAGGGACTGACATGGACACGAAGGATAAGGATTAAAGATGAGAGGGACATTCTGGGCAGGAAGAGCAGTGTTTGCAAAGGTGTGGGGTGGGATCGGTATATCCAATGGGTCCCACATAAGGGAGGGTCACAGAGAGCTGCAGGCTAAGGATCCAGAGCAAAACAAACAAGTAAGCAAAACCCCCAAACCCAGGTCTAAATCAACGAGGAAGCTGCTGTGGTTACCAGCTGTCTGTTTCCAGCCTCACTTAACCTTCCTTCCCTGTCCCTGCTTACCTGCTATTGTTGAATAGTACTTGGTAGGCATGAGTCCTCAGAAAGCAGGCTATACAGGTCAACCAGGCTGTTGAGAAGACAGGAGAGTAGGGAGTATCCTGTCCTCTTAGCCTCACTCTCATACACGAATTCATTGTCCTAAACCTTGGGGAAGATTCAAGATCTGGGAGACCCTCCTGACTTGGTGGTTGATCCTAGCACAGTTCTCTGTTCTGCTTAGAGGTAAGTGCCAGTGTGGAATGAGCACAGGCTATGTAGGTGAGCAATGTATGCCATTAGTAGATAATTAATAATGACTCAAAAGCATGAAATTCTGGGCTGTGTTACTGTCCATTCCCTCAGACACTTGGAGCTTCTCAAGTGCAGCATCCTTGTCTGTTTCATCACTAGGTGCCCAGAATTGCCCAGTATGGGGCCAGGCAAAGGTAAGAGGTTCAGGGTTATTTGTTGAAAGAATGGATAGTTGGAAGGATGGAAGGGAGATTGAATGTATGTATAGGGCATGAACGAATGGATGGGTAGGTGGGATGCATGGATGGATGGGTAGAATGGAGGCAAGAATGGCTGGCTGGAGGACTTCGAAGATGGAATAGGAGAGTGGATGAGGTGAAGGGAAAATGAGAGGATGGATGGGTAAAGGAAAGGATGGGTTGATTACTGAATGTGCATACTAACAAATAAAGGTATGAGTGAAATAGTGGGTGACTAAATGGATGAATGGGATGCATGGCCATTACAACAGAAGGACAGATGACTGGATAAATGACTGAATGGATGAGTAAGTGGATGGCAACATGAATGGGCAAAGAAGTAGAAAGAACATTATCTCTGGAGTGAGGGTGAGTTACGTCCAACCACTCCCATGCCCTCACTTTTGTCTCCTCTCTCAATGACCAGTTAACTCCTCCTCAAATCAGCCATTCTTCTTCCTATTTCCTCTCTCCATAGAAATCCTGGCTGGAATGATGGGGATACCCTCAGAGCATGACTCTCTCTATCACCCCAACATAGACCTTACCCCCCAGGTCAGCCTAGCCTAAGGCTGGACCCTCTTCCCAGGTCCACATGGATGGCCAAGGCTGCTCTTCAGAATATACGTACACATAAATCCCAGCATGCACTGAGTCAGACCTGGGGCACTGATGTGGACAGGCAGCAGGAAGGTGTCAGGATCTGTGGAGACCACAGGGGTTTTCATGTCATTACAAGTCTCTGGCACATGGTGTTTGCAGAGATGAGGAACAACCTGAACCTTGGTGCAAGCACTCCTTCCTCTCTGCTTCCCCCTTTGTTGGGGGACCTCATTTGCATTTCTGAGCCTCAGACCCTCAGCTGTCTTATGAAGACCCAGGGCTCCCCTCCTCTTCCCTGCTCACTCGTGTTTGGCAAGGACTCCTCTGCTCTCCTGCCTGTGTTCCGGCTTCGTTGGGTGACCCTGTGGATAACAAGATTCACAATCACACTTGATAACTTATAAGGAAAGTTGGGTGTGGAGGTAAGTGGATTGGTGTCCCCATGTTTTAGATCTACTGAGTTGAGGAGAGATTTGTCCATGGCCACTAGTCTGTGGGTGGTCAGAATCAGACATGGACCTAGGTTGGCTGACCTCAAATCCAGTTCTCTTTTGAAGAACAGACACAGTAAAGTTTACTATGACAGTCACACGTGGTTATCACCCGAAAGCCACCGCATCCTCTTGCTAGCAGTATCCTGATTTTGTTGCCTTGTCTACTTGTAACCCCATATAATTTTAGACAATTCTGATTGGTTTGAGTTTATTGTAATACTCCCAAATATGGAATGTAGGGGAAAGGTTTTCTCACTACTAAAAAGAGATCCATGAGAAGTAATGTCTCCTTCTTTCCACTCTGTGCAGTCACGTTTCAGTGTGACACCTGGAACTGTGGTAGCCTTTTGTGACCATGACAGGAAGCTTAACATAATGGCAAGAAAGTGGCAGAAATCAGGTCTTGGATGGCATTGCAGAGCTACAGAATCCACACACTCTGGAGTGCAAACACTCATATCTTAGGACCTCTAGATATGTGGGATAACTCATTCATAAGGCAATGGCCTCCAAAAACTTTTTTCATAAGCTCTCCAATGTGTTTATGTTTATTTATTAGGAAATAATTTATACCTTACCATGTGTCTATCAGTTTGTTGTACTGTGGTGGTTGGTGTGTTGCTGTGACGTTTGAAGCTATACCACTGGTATTTTAAATACCAGCAGGGTCACCCATGGTGGACAGGTTTCAGCGGAACTTCCAGATGAAGATAAACTGGGAAGAAGGAGAGTCAAAGCACCTCTGCATGGTTAGCCACTGAAAACCCCATCAATAGCAGCTACAGTGCTGGAAGACGAGCCCTTCAGGCTGGAAGCACTCAAAATATGACTGGGAAAGAGCTCCCTCCTCCAATTAGAGTTGACCTTAATGACGTGGCTTGTGTTTAGCTTTTGGGACCTTTATTTGCTGATGTGGCACAATTCAAAATGAGAAGTAACAACAGAAAACATCCATTAATAATTGGAAAGTAGAACGTATGAAGTACATGTATCTAGGAAGATCGGAAGTTGTCAAAAGTTAAATGTTACACATAAAGATCAATATCCTAGATATCAGTGAGCTGAAATGGACTGTTTTTCACCATTTTTAAATCTGACAATCATACGGTTTGCTATAACAGAGATGGTGAATTGAAGAGGAATGGCATCATATTCATTATCAAAAAGAACATTTCAAGATCTATCTTGAAATACAATACTGTCTGTGATAATATAGTATCCATGTGCTTACACAAAGACCATTTAATATCACTATTCTTCAAATTTAGGCACTAACCACTAAAGTCAATGATGATGAAATTGAAGAATTCTACCTACTACTTCAGTCTGAAATTGATAAAACATGCAATAACAATGCATTGCTAATTACTGGTGACTGGAATGTGAAAGTTGAAAGGAACCATAGTTGGGAAATATGATCTTGATGATAGAAACTATGCTGGAAGTCACATGATAGGATTTTGCAAGACCAATGGCCTATTGATTGCAAATACCTTTAGAAAGCAACATAAAAAGGCAACTATATACCTGGACCTCTCCAGATGGACTACACAGGAATCAAATTGACATCATATGTGGGAAGAGATGAAGGAGAAGTTCACTAACATCAGCCCAAATAAGGCCATCACCTGACTGTGGAAAAGACCATCAAAATTGCTCATATGGAAGTTAAAGCTGAGGCTGGAAAAGAGTAAACAAAACAAAACAAAACCAACCCAAGTCCAGGAGAGGCAAAGGATAACTTTGAGTATATTCTACCTGAATTTAGAGACCATCTTAAGAACAGACTTGATGCATTAGACATTAACGACAGAAGATGAGACATGTTGTGAGATAACATCAAGAACATCGTACAAGAAGAAAGCAAAAGTTCATTAAAAAGACAGGAAAGAAAGAAAAGTGAATGCTAGAAGAAACTCTGAAACTTGTCGTTGAATATAGAGAAGGTAAAGTTAATGGAAGAAATGATGAAGTAAAAGAGCTGAACAGAAAACTTCAAAGGGCAACTCAAGAAGACAAGGTCAAGTATTATAATAAAATGTTCAAGAACCTGGAGCTAGAAAATCAAAAGTAAAGATCATGTTCAGCATTTCTCAAGCTGAAACAATTGAAAAAACTCAAGCCTTGGTTTCAATATTGAATGCTGTCAAAACATCAAAAAGAAGATGGAAGGAATACACAGAGTCACTGTACCAAAAAGGATTTGCCAATGTTCAGACATTAAAGAAGCACTATATGATTAAGATACATTGAAGGAAGAAATTCAAGCAGCATAGAAGGCATTGGCAGAAAACAAAGCTCCAGGAATTGACAGAATAAAAATGGAAATGTTTCAACAAACTGATGCAGTCTTGGAGGCACTCACTTGTCTATGTCAAGAAGTGTGGAAGACCAACCAGTTGGAATAAATCTATATCTATGCTCATCCCAAAGAAAGGTGACCCAACAGAATGCTAGTAAAATGTTACTGAAGGTAACTGAAAATTGATTGCAGCAGTACATCAACAGGGAGCTGCCAGAAATTTAATCCAGGTCCAGAAAAGGACATAAAACTAGGGCTATCACTGAGGGCTTCTAATGGATCTTGGTTGAAAACAGAGAATACAAGAATGATGTTTTGTTGTTGTTGTTAGGTGCTATCGAGTCTGTATTGACTCCTAGTGACCCTATGCACAACAGAACGAAACACTGCCCAGTCCTGAGCCCATTGCCACGCTTGAGCCCATTGATGCTGCCACTTTGCCAATCCATCTCGTTGGGAGTCATCTTCTTTTTCTCTGACCCTCCACCTGACCAAACATGATATCCTTCTCCAGTGACTGGTCCATCCTGACAATATATCCAAAGTATGAGAGACAAGGGTTGGTTTTCCTGGCCTCCAAGGAACACTCCAGTTGCACTTCTTCCAACACAGATCTGTTGGTTCTTTTGGCAGCCCATGGCACTTTCAGTATTCTCCTCCAACACCATAACTCAAAAGCATCAATTCTTCTATGGTCTTCCTTATTCACTGTCCAGCTTTCAAATGCATATGAGGTTATTGAAAGCATTATAGCTTGGGGTCAGGCACACCTTAGTCCTCAAGCTGGCATCTTTGCTCTTTAACACTTGAAAAGGTCTTGTGCAGCAGATTTACCTAATGCAATACTTCGTATGATTTCTTGACTGCTGCTTCCATGAGTGTTGATAGTTGATCCAAGAAGAATGAAGTCCTTGATAACTTCAATCTTTTCTCTGTTGATAAGAATGTGGTTTATTGGTACAGTGGTGAGGATTTTTGTTTCCCTTACATTGAGATGTAATCCGTACAGAAGGCTGTGGTCTTTGATCTTCATCAGTATTTTAAGTCCTCTTCACTTTCAGCAAGCAAGGTTGTATCATGTGCATATCACAGGTTGTTAATGAGTCTTCCTCCAATCCTGATGCCAGGTTTTTCTTCATATAACCCAGCTTCTCAGATTATTTGCTCAGCATATAGGTTGAATAAGTATGGTGAAAGAATACAACCCTGTCACACACCTTTGCTTTATTCACTATGCGAAGTCTTTTGACTGTGTGAATCATAACAAGTTATGGATAACATTGAGGAGAATAGGTATTCCAGAACACTTGACTGTGCTCATGAGAACCTGTACGTAGACCAAGAGATAGTCGTTCAAACAGAAAACTGAGGATACTGAATGGTGTAAAACCAGGAAAGTTGTGTGCTGGGGCCATAATTATTCAATCTGTATGCTGAGCAAATAATCTGAGAAGTTGGATTATATGAAGAAGAACATGGCATCAGGAGTGGAAGAAGACTCAGTAACAGCCTGCAATATGCGGATGACACAACCTTGTTTGCTGAAAGCGAAGAGGACTTAAAACACTTACTGATGCAGATCAAAGACCACAGCCTTCAGTATGGGTTGCACCTCAATGTAAAGAAAACAAAAAATCCTCACCACTGGGTCAATTAATAACAGCATGGTAAGTGGATCTACAATCAACACTATGGAAGCAGCAGTCATGAAATAAAATGGCACATTACATTAGTCAAATCTATTGCACAAGACCTCTTTAAAATGTGCAAGAGCAAAGATGTCTGTTTGATGAGTAAGGTTCTCCTGACTCAATCCATGGTATTTTCAATGCATGTAAAGGTTAGACAATAAACAAGGAAGACCACAGAAGAATTGATGCATTTGAGTTATGGTGTTGGAGAAGAATATTGAAAGTACCACAGATTGACAGAAGACTAAACAAATCTGTGTTGGAAGAAGTACAGCCAGAACGCTTCTTAGAAGCCAAGATGATAAGACTTTGTCTCTCATACTTTGGACATTTTATCAGGAGGACCAATCCCAGGAGAAGGACATTTTGCTTGGTAAAATGAAGGGTCAGCAAACAAGAAGAAGACCCCATGAGATGAGTTGACACAGTGACAGCAGCAATGGGCTCAAGCATAACAACAATTGTTAGAATGATGCATGACCAGCAGTACTTCCGTCTGTTGAGCATAGGGTCTGTCTCTATGAGTCAGAACTGACTTGAAGGCACCTAACAACAACAAATCTATTATTATATTTGTACATTCCTAAGGAATACACATTGAATGAGGCTGAGCTGGAAAAAACACACTGCAGTTCTAATAATGTCTTCCTGAACCCCAAACTTTGTATATTCCTTAGGATATATACCCTCTTTGGGGGTTCCGGAGGTAGGTATCATGTGAAGTTAGAATTTCTGTCACTTACAACCACAGGCCTCCTGACAGGCACAGATGGCGGTTGAGTGTCTGTATCCCTCACTAGACTGTGAGCTCCACGAGGTCAGGGAGCATCTTCCTGTGGTGTAGCATCTGGCTCCCAGAGCCTTGAACATGACCTGACACATAGTGGATGTTCAACAAACACGTGCTGGAAGGATCTTCTACAGATTTTTAGCCAGAGACTTTGGGACAGTCATTGTCACACCCCTGTGACCTCAGTTTCTGCAGCTGTAAGGT